TTAAGAAAGGTGACTTACTTTATATACATGATTCAAGGACCCCTTTCATTCATAGTATTAGGAAAACATGAACTGTTTATGTGCGTCTCAAGGAACTGCTTGTGATTCTTATTCGATTGTAATACGTGCGTGTACTATGTCATTTGTGTGTGTGCACGGTTTAAAAGCTACTTAGCTTGAAACTCTGACTAGATTACGATTTTACATCCCTATTGTAAGAGTCAGAGGTATGTCATACATGTAACTTAATTTGCGTTTATTACATTTTACTTAAATTTGTATTGCAAAGAATTTTGTTACTCGTAGATTTTTATACCTGATGAGGGCCGGGACGTTGTCCATTCGGCCGAAGCGTCGTTTTGTTTTTTAATTAATTTAAAATATGATAGTACCACCATTGGACGTTGTTTTTAATTAATATATATTCTATTTTTTATAGGTTTTGAAATATGACGGTGCCAATTGCTGTAGGAAACTTTGCAATGATGTCAAAATAATTCTGAAAAACGAATTTACCTTACACCTATTGAGTATTTTCTAGTTATGTCCTCGATTCAGTGCAGGACGTTTGGGCGCATCAGAAGAGCTGAAAAACATACAGAGTGCTCATTTTCTGCCAGTCTTTATTCCGTCAACCATCATTACTTTTTTTGAGACCATATCGTATGATTATGCTTATGCTTTACTACAGGGTAACATCAAACGTGTCTACAATATGTGCAAATCGCGTTGGGATTCAATTATTAACTTTTAAACTTGCAATTATTTTCACTTCATTTTACTTTATCGTAGCTGTATGGGCTATACTTTGCATCAATCACGGCCTGATACAGCCACTATCATGCTGTATATTCTTGCTATCTAGAAACTTCTTAAATGAGACTTTAGCAAAAACAGTCAAAGAGGCCCCCAGTGTATAACAATTAAAATAGTAATACTTGCAAAAAAAACGATATGCTGTACAATACATTTTTTGATTGGTAAACAGGATATTGAATTGCTACAAGAAATTAAAGTACTTATAGATGTGCGAGACAAAATTCCGTCTACTGCTACTATTGTTGCTTACAAAGTGCGGCTGGTACTTACTAACTGGGAAGCATTGATTTCTAATCTGCATAGCCCTGACTATTAATACTCTTAAGACTTATTTTTCTAAGATTATTTTGAATCCAGTCGTTTGTAACATGATAATGAGATTTCCTTACTTATGGATTCTGTTTGATTTACGTTTATTTATTAACGTCATAAATGATCGATACAGAGCGCTGATACGTGGCTGCTAAGTTCAGCAGAGCTTACAACGTAAGAGTGATGCACGAGGACAGTGCTGTTAAGTCAAAAGAATGTGATGGCAACTATGCTGGCCTGACTCGGCGTTTTCTTCTACACTGAAAAATTTTTTGGTAAGCAGCTCAATCATCATTGGAAACGCAGCACCCCCTCTATCTTTGTTTGACCTCTGCCTCGGCTCGGGCGCGCTGCGCATCCTGTGAATAGAGTGGGAGTCGCTACATATGTCGTAAGGAAGCTGTTTTACCGTGTAAGAGAAATCTGCTCACAGCTATAAATAAGAATAACGTGTACGCGTTATTCTTATATATAGCCTTTAGGTCCACCTATAGGTCCTTTGTAAAATGCTGTAGCCTTTGAGCTTGAAAAAAGTAATCGTGAGTACGTTAAACTTACTGACGAGTAAACTTGTTTTTTTTACTAATGAGAAGTAATCTTTAATAAAGCATCTCGTATACAGTGAACAGCTTACAACTGGATACTTGTGTACGCTGTCAAATTTTTATTAGTTTAATACATTTTGTTTCATATTCCTTATGCGCATAAGAGAGAAAATAATCTGTGTCATGCAATGACAAATTTTTTGGTTAATCTTATTAAAATCTTATCACAAAAACTCTTACCTACAAACAGATCACGTAAATGAAAAAAATTATGCGCGTCTAGAAAAAAATCCATTTTGTTTATACAAGATACGTTTTTTTGAGAACGCATCACTTATCGGCTACCGCACGGCTCCCGCAGAAGGTCCACTGCCTTACTTACTCAGCAGGTGAACTGTTCAACATTTAGGGCAGGCTGCCTGCCCTGAATGAGAAGGTAGCGTTCTCAAAGAAGCGTGCAGCATTTCCGAATGGATAGTACGAAGCTGATAGCGTGCTTTATAAAGGAGCTTACTCAGTTGGACAAGCCTCACTCCCTACATTTTTTCATTGTACGCTCCCTTTCTGACCGTTGATGAGCAGCCACTGCAGCATGCCGGGTCTCCGTACAAGCGGCTGAGGGGGCGAGACGGTAGCAGCCGTGAGATACAAATCAACAACCTTCTCGCTTCGTTTCGTAAGCGATTTAAACTCCCACTTGCCAGACTGGATAAACATTTAGTGTTGGTGTCCGTGGGGTTAACGTCGTCGCGGTTGGAACAGTGAACTGGCAGTAGGAAAAGCTTGCTGATAGCACGGAGATATTTCCCTGTAGACGTCTGGATGGTGGTGGTTCGAACAAGCCCATCGGGACCAGAATGAATGAAAATTATGCAACCCAGTGGCCAGAAGCCGCTTGACTGGAGGAGAGTGGCGTCTACCATAGTTACGATGTCATCGACCTGAAAATTGTGGCGTGGGGTCCTCCACTTTGGTCGTTGCTGGAGCGTATTCAGGTATTCACGACTCCGACAGTTCCAGAACTGATCTCAAATGCCACGAACAAGACTCCAGTGAGTCTGTCAATTTAGCTCTTTAGGTAGAGGAGCAGCGTCGATAATAATGTTCAGAGGGCCGCCAACAAGAAAATGCCCAGGAGTGAGGAAATCGATGTCATCAAGGCCGCCAGTCCATGGGGTAAGGAGGTGGCTGTTGAGAAACGCCTCGATGCTGGTGAAGACTGTGGAGAACTCCTCGTAAATGAGGTGTCATGGACCGATGACCCGACGCAGATAACGTTTCATAGACTCCTTGCAAGTCTCTCACAGTTCACCAAAATTAGGGGCCCAGGTGGAATGAGTTGCCATTTGATCTCTTGGTCAGCGAGAGTGCCAGCAACGGGACCTCACTGCAATTCAGCATCCTACAGAGCTTTGCAAAGTTCTTGGTCGGTGGCGTGAAAGTAGGTGGCGTTGTCACTCCAAATCTTTGCCAGATGGCCTCGTCTCACAAACAGTCTAGTGAGGGCCCCTATACATGACGCGGTCGACAAGTCGCCAACCAACTCAAGGTGCACAGCCTTGGTGGGCATACATACAAAAACCGTGATATATCTTTTGCTCGTGTCGCCTCAGCCCTTTGCCGACAAGATGTTAAGCGGGCCTGAATAATCAACACCGGTACGAAAAAAGTCTGGAGCGGGGGTTATCCACGCAGCCAGCAGAGGCGCCATGTGTTGCGTGTCAGGCCATTCATGGAGCCTCGTGCAGCCAACGCACCCTTTTTAAAAACTCTTTAAACGCCGCTGCCTGCCAACAATCCATGCCTTGCGAACGGTGTAAGCGCAGGAGACACGGAAGCTACCATGTAGTGCTCGTACGTAAGCCCCGTGAATAACCAATGAAGCCAGATGACATCGACCGTCGACGATCGGGGGGTGTTGATCGCCAAAGCTCAAAGCTGAGTGGTACCGACCACCAACTTGGAGAACGTCGTTGGAGATAAGCGGATTAAGAGTCCGCAGTGAATGTTTTGCAGGCAGATGCCCCCCCCCCCCCGCTGCAAAGTTGCAATCTCGGAAGAGAAGGACCGCTGTTGGCTGAGGCAACCATACACGAGGTATGCATTGCGCAGTTCAGTGGTGGTCAAGGGTGTCAGGGCAGGAGCTGAATCCTGTCGCAGCTGACGGCGGATCCATTGACGCAACCGAGCAAGGAAGTGCAGCAGAAGGTCTAGATCCGAGAACTTCTCCAGGATGTTTAAGACATTGCGTTGAATGGTACAACAGGTGTGGATAGCTTTTTCACGATCTGAACTAGAGCGGCTGTAGGGCCTGACAACCTCGACTGGCCACGAATCTGGAGGACCCGGGAGCCATGGTAAATCCTCACACCAGATGCGCATATGCTCCAGTGCGGACAGGTTCGTTTCCCAGGACACTTCTTCTGCAGGATTCCAGTCCATCGGGACGTTTCTCCACGAGCAGAAGGGCAGCAGCTCTTGGGTATGTGCCACGTAACTGTCAATGAGCGAGTTGTTGATGGGCTCTGATAAATGGAGCCAATGAAGAACGATCTGAGAGTCGCTCCTGGCATTATAGTCCTTGGGGAGGACGAAATATTCTCCAGCAACCACGCACAGCAGTTTTTCAGCAAGAAAGGCGGCTCACAGCTCTAGTCGAGGGATGATCATCCATGCCGGATGTGCGGCATCCAGCTGTAACCCCCTCATGTAGGTTACTTGAATCCAGGGGATCAACAGGCATACGGTGAACCCACCAACTGGGTCTACGGTTCGTGAGTGCATGACCGCTGTCATGGCGTGATGGCTGGCATCCGCATATACGTAGATCTAAACGCTGTCATGTGGACGCCAGTTGGTTCAGCGAAGAATGCTGATTTAAGAAGCGTCCTGCAGTTGAGACAGGAATGTGTGCCACCACTGGATCATGGAGGCTGGTATGAGTTCATCCCAATCGATTCGAGCGTTCCAGAGATCTTGGATAATCATTTTCAAGACCAGAATGATGGGGACGATCCAGCCACAGGAATCTTAAAGACGAGAAAAAGTGACGAGCATGGTGTGCTTAGTCTTCTGCGGCTCGAAAGCAGGTAAAGCGAGATGAAGAAGATCACCGATTGGATCCCATTTCGCACCAACCTCACTGACAAGGCCATCCACGCTAAGCTGCAAAGAGAGATCATGCAGTAGATTCGGCTCGTTGGCTACCCACTTTCTCAGTGGGAAGCTTCCCACTTGCAGCAAGCCGATTAGTTGATCGCGACGACGTCGGGCTGTCTCTACATCATTAGCGCCAGACAGGCTGTCGTCAGCGTAGCGATCTCTTCAAATGATCGCTACAGATTTGGGCCACGCTTTACCTTTGTCGTCGCATAATTTCAAAATCGTCCTCAGGGAGAGATAGGGAGCACTTGCTTTGCCGTAAGTTACAGTCAGCAGTTGGAAGTGCTGTGGTGGGACAGATTCATCGGCGTTCCACGGAATCCTCTGTGCGTTGATGTTGTGCTCATCAATCTAAATCTGGTGAAACATTATTAGGATGTCTATACGAAACGCCATCCAATGTTTCCTCCAACGAAGCAAAACCCTTGGCAGGCAAGCTTGAAACTTTGATCTGGCATGCAAGGCATCGTTGAGGCTGTTGCCACTGGATGTTGATGGAGATGCGTTGAACACAAGGTGCAGATTTTTCCGTTGGTCCCGGGATTGCAAAATTTTATGGTTTAGAATATAATGTACTGGGCCTGAACATGTACGCAGATCGGCCTCAGACAATGGTTGAATGTGCCCATGCTGAAGGTATTTACCCATAAAGCGAGTATACTCAATGGCCATTTCTGGAGCGCGTTTTAGTCCGCACTGCAGTGCCCGGAGAGAGGCCGTGGCACTAGTCGGGCTCTCCCCTAATAAGAAAATTGCGTCGCACTTGAGTGGGAGTCAAACAATGTAGCGGCCATCGGCCGCTCAAAGATCATAAGCAAAGCTGGCCTCATACTCCACGTCGTCCGGCAAGTGGCGCGTGATGCATGATACGTGTTTCAACTTCCAGTAGCACTGCATCAGTGCGATAAGTTGATCATGCCATGGCGGCGCTGTGGCCTTGTCTTCTGTCACGAGATATGTGACAGCTGAGGTCTGGGTGGCGTGACTGGGAACTTGGATGGTAAGAGTCCAGCCAACAGCGATGAGCTGTCCGACTAGGCGTTCCCAGCGCAAGAGTCCTAGTTGCAGTATATGAAGGTACACATCAGCACCAAGTAAGATCTTGACATTCCCTCGGATGTCAAAGGTCGGATCTGTGAGGTCCAGCAAGTCACGCCAGAGTTCGAGGATGTTCGGGGGGAGTGGGGCCGCGGAGATCAGGAGCCCCATCCGAGGCAAGCAGTGTGCAGTCAGCGGTAGCAATCAAGTGGAACCCTTAGCTTGCAGCTTCAGCTGAGCTGTCCGTGGTCAGTGGGAGATGCCCTTCCCCGCAACGCCTGAGATGGTCATGGCCGATCGCTTTAGGTCGGCATCAAGCGTTCAGGCGACCCTGTTGGAGGTGATAGTGATCTCTGAGCAGGCGTCCACGAGAGCCCGTGCTGTAATCGATCGCCTCTCTGTTTCCGCCAGTTGAATTTTAAGTGTAGGGAGGACAGCTAGTCATAACTGCGATTGACCTGCAGGATCGTTCTTGCGGTCCGAATCAAGGAGCAGCTGCTTGACGGGAGCCGACCCAGCATCTGACACAGCCCGATACTTTTGGCTGTCATCGTGGATGAGACTATGGTGCGTCGCACGACAGTGTTGACATACACCTTGGGATGGGCACAAGTGTGTCAGTTGTCCCAGTCTTATGCAATTGAAGCAGAGCTTGGCCTGCGCCACCAGAGCTCATCGCGCGGCACGTTCAGTGCTAGGAACTGGCTGCAAGTGGCCCATGTAATGAGATGTATGGCATGTGGGGCAGTCTATTTCGGTGGTGTGGCTTGCCAAAGTCCGGTGATGATGACGGCTAGATTTAGATGGAGCACGAGAGGCCTTCATCAAAGTCAGCGATCGGTCGCGCCTCCTGAGAAAGCTGGACTGGACCCTGCAAGTAGATGGGTACATGGCGGTTGATGCGAAGGAGACCAGCCACACATCCCAGTGCTCGATCGGCTGTTTTAGTGCTTGCCGTTGGTCCTGGTGCTTCTTCAAAGTGTTGATTAGGCCCTGCAGACTCTCGGTGGACTCGTCGTGGAGTGGCTTGAGCGCCCTGAATGCCATGACGTGATCCTGTACGAAGAGGTGGTGATGCTTGAACCATAAAGTGAGGAGATTTTAGGCCGTCGAGTAATTGGAACTGACCAGCTGGACGGTGTTCAGGACTGCCTTTGCCTTGCCATGGACGTTCACTTTGAGGTAGAATAATCTCTCTACGTCGGAGAGACGGGCGTCTTGGTGAGAGAGCGCCTGAAATAACTCGCGGAAGGACTGACAATCTTTCTAGTGCCCCGAAAAAAGTGGAATGTACATGCTTGGCAGGCGAGGGCCGGGGTGCGCTCTGGCGAGTGATGATAAGTCTCCATTTTCTGGGAGGGTAGTGCCATCGCGCTCCTGGCGTCGTAAAGACATGCCTTCGCACTGAGGTAGTGTGGCTCACCGTATTTATATAGGAGTCCAAGAAGGTCAACCTTTTCTTCGGGAGCACATCTAACCAAGTCGGGCTGGTTGGCCTGAGAATCAGCCCAATAGCTGCTGAGCAGCTCCAGTCTGGCCTCGAGAAGACCCTTGCTCCAAACTTTGATGCCTTGGACGGATTGTGCAAACTGGTCGAGCACCTTGAGAAGAGCTTGCTGCGTGAAAAAACCGTCTAACCAGCCTTTGTTCACCCTCAAGAGATCACATGTTAGACTCGTCACTCGTCTTCCGAGCGGATCCTGATCACACATTATACAGTCAACAGTCTGAGCTGGATAATTGCGTTAGAGCGTGGGCCTTACAACACAAACTGCACGGCAGTTTTCTAAACGGTTCCCTCTTAGGGCATCACACGAGGACTCTCGTGAGATCGCATTGCTCGTTACTTGGTGCAGCTTAGTACGATTGCATCATATGCACTCAGCGCCCGCATTCTCTCCTATCCTCACAGTTTTTTTTTGCATGGCATGACTCTGTCTGACTGCATCACGTGCAACAGAGGCCCAATTTTCTCGATGCGAGCTCAGATGCAGAGAGTTTTGTTTCACATGCAAACGACTTACTTCCATTGCAAATACGATGATGCAGTTCTAGCTGTTTCTAGGTTGACAGAGACCTTGAGGTAACCTGTCCTCAGCTGCACAATCTAACCAACTTAATCTGGCTCGAAGGACCAATGTTTGATTTACTTTTATTTATTGACGTAATGGATAATCGATACAGAACGCTGATGCGTACGGAGACCCAGTATGCTACCACAGCTGCTCATCACTGGTCAAAAATGGAGAGTAGAATAAAACGCTGAGTCAGACCAGCACAGCCACCATCATATCCTCTTAACTCGACAGCACTGTCCTCGCGTATTACTTTTACGTTGTAAGCTCTGCTGAACTGAGCAGCCACAAGCGGCTAAGGGGGCGAGACGGTAGCAGCCGCGAAATACAAATCAACAGATTTTGACAGATAAAATTAACATATTTTCTACGGTGATCTAAATTTTAGCTAAAATTAAAAAATGTCTTGTCCATGGATTAAACAATTATTGAAAATAGTAGTAATCTTTGTTTTATCTTAAATTATTTTTTCAACTGTATCAGACAGTTTAAGCCTTTTATAAATGACATTCATTTATTTTTATGGTTCTTTTTTCTTACATCTCTTACTTTGTGTATGTTTCTTCAATAGATAAAACAATTCAAAAGCGATGTGTAGAGTGAATGTTTTTATTTTAATAAAATAATGTTCCTCCTCTCAAGGAGGCCTCTTCAGGGTATATTAACAGCTCCATTTATGTAGGTGCCTTATGCTTTTTAATTGTTTTATCTATTAAATATTTGTTTGTTTAAGAGCTTTTTAGCGAAATTTTTAGAATGATCTTAAGTATAAAGGTGAACGGGACCTTAGGAATTTTTACGTATCTTTATACAAGGATACGTAATTTAGTGAAAGGCCACTTTGACACTTCACTACACTTGAACTTTTAGTAATAGGTATAATATTTTTGTATTAAATAATAGACTTAATTTATCACCATTAATTTCCACAATTAAACCACTATTGGAACACAGATATAGAAGGCTTAGGAACTTTAAAATCAATTTGCTAGGAGCAGTTGTTAAAGTTATAAGTCTACACAAAATGTCTTTACAATAAAATATGGTTTATTAGTCAAGAAAAAATATTTTTTACTTTTTTCAATGATGAATATCCGTTTGAACTTGTAGCTAAAAGTCAAAGGGCAGTTTCATGTCACCTTTAGTATAATATCTTTTGTATACGTGACAAAACTATTCATTATCACTATTATAAATAATCATAGCCTATAGACGTCATAATAAGACTTATACGAGGTAATAAATCGTCAGCAATTTTTATAGTTATGTGCGCATAAATTTATTTTTATTTTTAACAACTATAGGAATCTGACTAAACATATGAGTGCTTCCTGGTAAAAGCTACTTTAAGTCAGCAGAAAAAGCTCTGGACGCCCTTAAATATTATTGCCTTTAAAAAAGGCGTGAATATTCTGTTGTGAGTTAATTTTTTCACTTAAACATTTTACTCTAACAGAAAACAAATGACTTACATGGTCAACAAAAGTCCAGATTCTCTTTACACTATTATCTCAATTACTAAGATTATTAATAAACATGGGTAAAAGCACTTTGTACCGAATTCCGTAAAAATGATGGTTTGCATTTAAAAAATTGCTATTTATTAATATAACACAACTGTATTTCAAATCAACGGTACATCATGTCACTACAGCACAAAGTAAAAAAATAAGCGCCTAAAGGGCGCAATTGTTATATGTTGGTACCTGAGTCATATGAAATGTTAACCTTACTGAAGGTCAAAGGTACAATTTTACGCCTATAGGCACACTTTGCATCCAGCAAATAACTTTGGGCCCTAGGTGGTGACAATGGCGCAAAGTGTGACGCGGGATAGCAATGCGGCAGTTGCAGTTTGTGCCCATGGTAAGAAATGGTAGTTTAATCTAAAGGGCGACGTTGTTGTACTGTATGCCTAAGGTAAGAACGATATTTTTTGTATTGAGGATAGAAAGTACAACTGTGCGCCCGTGAGCACAGTTTTGCCTACCAACTACTTTTTGCCCTAGGGCGGGAAAAAACTTTGGGCCTAGCAGAGCCAAAATATTTTTTCCTGCCTGTGGGTGAAAAGTATACCCTAGGGCGCAAAACACTGTGCCTGAGGGATAAAATGGTAGTTTTTATACCTGGTAGTGTATCTGGCCAGGGCAATCACCAGGCCGAAAGGACCTGCAAAGTAGGGTCTGACAAATTTATTGTTCTTGCACTGATTAGGGTGCACCAGGTACAAATCCTATTTTTCCTACTGCGGGTGTACTAAACGTCCAAATGTTTAAAAAATTGCCCAAAGTAAGAGAAGTACTTTTTTTTACCTTGGAAATTTTTGAGGGTTAGATGTGCCATTGGTAGAAAAAAAGGATTCGCACCTGGTACGCATACAATTAGGATAAGCACAATGAATTTTTCGAGCCTGGTGCTTGCCCTGAGAACATGCACCACCAGATACAAGAACTTCTATTTCCTATCTCGAATGTTTTTAAGAGGCTGGTATGTCCTTGGTAGAAATACTATAATTTGCCACATGAGAGCCATCGTACTGCAGCTACCTCACGTCTTATG